CAAATAAAGAAACAGATAAATTATTAACAATTGTTGATTAATAAATGTTATTGTTCTATATAAACGTTCTGATTTTGGTAAATAATCCAAGTATCACGATCTTTATACGCTTAACCACTTATTTCTCTGAGATAACAACACACTTAATTTGAAAAAGATTAACAATTTACTGGTCGTATAAATGCATCAAAACAGTATTTTTAAAATTACTATGCCAATTAGCTTTTATTATAACACAACATGATTTTAATTCTAGCTTCAAGATAAAATGACAAAATCGTGCCAAATGCTGAGAATCAATAAAACACCGTTAAAAATTGTGTTTTTTAATTGAGGTGGTTTTATTTTTTTATCTTTCAATGGTATCGAATAAAAAAAAAACATCAATCGTGCAGTCATTAATTTTTCACGGTACAATGAGAAACATTGGTGCAACAACAATACCAGTTTTATTTAAACAAAGAAGACAATCTAACATGTTGACGATATATAGGTAAATAAATTCATAAAAATACTGTACGATCAACAATATAGGCAGGCTATCGTATGCTATTGCAACATTCAAAACGTAAAAATATTCTTGTTCTTTGTTGTTATTTTGTTTTTGTTGCTCAGAATCTATTGTATTGTTATTATTTCTGCTAGTTATTTACAGTGAATCAATATTATTTTGAGGTTATCTTTATGTCTTATTCTTGAAGTCTTGTATTTTCCTGTAAAATGGTGCATCCGTTTGCTAACCTGGAATAGCCTGCGAATATGTTATCACTTCTTGTCACCATGTATTTCTTTTGTTGTATTCTTGTTAAAGGTGGTATTTATTGAACACATCTACTAAATGTTAAATATTTCGTTTATAGTTGTGTAGTGTACGGTTGTTACTTTTATACTTTTTGTTTTTATTTAGATATAGAACATACTAATCCCTTTGGATATATTTTATTTTATTTATCTATTTACTAATATCAACGGATACACCATTTACAAAATATATTGTAAATATATATATATATATATATATATATATATATTATAAATATAAATTATATATATATATATATATTGTATAAGAGTGTAAGCTATTTATTATATAAAATTATATTCAATATCGTCAATGGGTAAAATTGTATCCTACAACTACACCCCTAAAATCATTGGCTTTAATTATAGTTATCTATAGTTTCTGTTTACAACCTAACAATTTTATCGTAGGTTATACAACATTTATTGTTGGTTATACGACATTTATTGTTGGTTATACAAAATTTATCGTAGGTTATTTATTTATTTATTTATTTATTTATCCATATACGGTAAACACCATTTTACATTGTACATACATTGCAATTTTTTTTACAGATGGCCAAAAAAAGATATACTACTAAAATGATCAGCTATCTACTACCTACACTTAGAATTAACGAAACAAAGTTGAAAAAATAAATATATGATAAATATCACAGCAAGTGGCAATAAAGAGTAGAGACTAGTTAACATGCAGGAACAATAATAACAATAAATATTGACGAAGTAGAGACTAACAATGAGCAAACCCAAAATTATGAAACACTACAAAATAATACATATTATGGAGGCAAAACCAGCAAATTTACAGAAAAAAAATAACAATGTGCAAAAGGTACGGTAAACTCTGAAGAAATATAAAAACTTAACAATGAGGTAACAACAAGACAGACCATAATATTAATAAATATGAAAAAGTAAGCACATAAGTGACACACATAAGTGTTGGTTATAGACTACAACATTTATTGTTGGTTATACAACATTTATTGTTGGTTATACAATATTTATTGTATGAAAAGGTATTTGAACTTTATGTTATAGTAATGAGAAATGTATTTATCTCTAGTTTATGTCGTTGGCATTGCCATGGAATAAATAAATAATATTAGAGATGTCCGTTGGTATGTAAACTAAATAAATATGTTATTGTTATTACTAACTAAACTAAATGTATTGTTATTACTGGTCAAGTCTATTCACATTTGACTTTCATCATAATATTCCTAAATTATTTACCATTTTTATATTTTTTTCAAAGTTAGTTTTAAGTAATTCCCTAACTATTTTTGTGCATGCCAAATCTATATACGGTTAATATATTTTATATGATTCTTTTATCTTCATAGTGTTAAGGATAATAATTATTTAAACATATTTGTTATTCAACCATCTATCTATATATTAATAGGCAAGCATGTTTCTTTAAAACCTTTTTTCTCAGCTCGTGTGTATCGTAGGGAAAATCCACGCATACCGTTAGAAAGCTATTTTCCTGTAGGTGTGCAGAATCCCTTTATAAATTAAAATAGGCTCAAAAATAAGCACAAAAAATGAATTTGAAATTTAAAAAAATTAACATGGGTCTTATGGGTTGTTATGGTGATGACGAAATAACAACAAAATATAAACAGAAAATCAAAAAAAAATGGAAGACATTCCAATCACATGTTTTATTTACAGTGTGGGGTGAAAATAGAGAAGTTTGCACAAAACATACTTTTGGTCGATTTTTCGACCACGGGGCGTGCTCTCGTAAACTATTAATAGGTACATTTTTAATATATTAAATTAACTTTCTTTACAAGATTTAGCATACATAAATAACTTAATTGTCAACGCTTTTAACCCAGAAACCTAGGAAACGACCCATAAAGCCCAATGGACGTCTCAAGACCCACGGTAGGAAGGTGCGGAATCTTGGGGCTAATAAATGACACCGAGACAGCCCCATAAATCAGTAGTAGTATTTGTATTTGTTGTTTACTGTGCAGTGCGCGCGCCCACCATATTGCGACCGTTTCGCCATCTTAGTTCAAATGTTTTAGGCGATGTTTTCTTGACGGAGATAAGCCCCGCCCTCCCCGCTCTCTTTGCGCGATGCTTTATTGTGATTGGTTAAGGCATCGCGGCTTTTTGAATTACCGCGATCCGATTGGCTGACAAGGGCCGTATCGATCGCCGGTTGGCGGATCCGTCGCGCGGGGGGAACGGGAATCGATATCCGCGATCCGCTTGCTCCCACTTAATCATACCTAGAATTTTGTTCTATTTAAAGTTAAGAGCCCCGTTGTCAAATTAGATTTATTTCGGTGGCCTTGTTTCGCCTCCGGTGTTTGAGGAGCTCTCCTGATTTAAAGTTTGGATATTTGAAATTTTGTTTTGGTTTAATAGTAGTTTGTGGTGACTAGGGATTTGTCTATGAGCGAGACTTTTCTAGCTCTTGTTTTTGTCATGAAATTTGCCCTGATTAAAATGTTTGTTCTATAATGCTCATTTTGTATATTAAAGTATAGTTTTTCCAAATCTATTTTAGTTTTACGTGTGAATACATTGTAGATCAATTTAATTATTTTATTGAAAAATATTTTGAGAAACTCGTAAAGATTATGTGATAGCTACTTAAAATTGAAGAATGCATCACGTATTACTGGAAATCTTATATTCAGTCTAGTAGTATTTTCCCACGATATGCACAAATAAATTTAAATCGTGTAAGAAAGAAGTGATCAAAAAAGTTCTTTTAAAGTGTTGCTTTGTAAAGATTAGTTTTACATTGATAGTGACAATAAAAGTACAATAGTACAGTAAAAGACATACATTGTCTTAGAAGGCAATATTTAATGATATAATAATCCATTTTTGTACCAACAAACTATAGTTAGTGTTGCTTTTCCATTTCACCCATTGTAGACTACCAATATGCTGCCTAGCTCATGTTCTGGATTTAAATTAATCCAGCAATTAAAAATAATATTACATATTTCGTAAAAAAAACATCGTTTTATAAAGTCATTAAAGTCCACGTTATTCATGAAGTCTTGTGTTCAAACTATGAGAGACATATTAATGTTATACACCACATGAGTGCTGTCTATGTTCAAATTGGTTATTATGCTATGGTACTGTAGATGAGGTTAAATGAAGTTTTTATTATAGAAAATATACAGTAATCCAATTATTGGATTAACACAGCCAATTCAAATAATGATGGTTCTATCTTACTTTAATTTATTCAAATAGATGTTGTCATGTGTCAATTAATTATTTTCCATAACGAAATATCAACGTTGGATGGAAAATATTCGTGGACAACTATGAACTTGTGTACAGTATTTGTACAAACTCATTAATAATAGTTATTAGTTTGTAAATATTTATATTGTTACTATTTATTTGTTACTGTTCACTATTTGTTACAGCTATTTTCTATTTATTTCTGTAATTTAAAGTTGTGAATGTTTTTTTTCATTGTAAAGTGGCTATGCCGTTGGAAAAAAATAAATAGTAGGCCTAACAAAAATAAAATCTTAACACATTAGTCATAAATTATAATTTTGTATAGCTAACTACATTCACGATAATTTATTACCTATAAACATACAAATCCTTTTAAAAAGTACCATGTTCTGTAATAAAACAAGTATATTAAACGTTATAAAAGGTTTGACAAGATATGAGCAATTCAACTGTTAACCTAAGGTTTCTAACGACAGCCAACAATTGTTTTAAACATACGAAAATTACTCAATCTCATTCAGATTCTAATTCTTAATTTCAATAAACTTACAACAGGAATACAATTTGCTGAAACCTGTGTCCAAATTCGGAAAACAAATACAAATCCAAGATAGTCGAATAGCAGTGTCAAAAGATAACAAAGAGTAATATAATGAAACCGAAGTTACCCCATTAAATAGCGCAGGTAGGGGTAGGAGGGTTAAACAAGGGTAGGTTTACGGTAGAAACCCCACCAGAATATGGCACATCTCCGGAGCCTGTTTTGTTTTATTCCCGCTTAAACTTAACAAAACAGACACTCCAATCCTACCAATTATTTTTTCCCATCGATTTCAGTTCTTGCTGCGAAGTAGGCGGGGCTTACAGGGGGCGGGGCGAGGGCCGAGCGTCGGCGGAGACGCCCGAACAGGCGGGCCGAGCGGAACGAACGCGAGAATTGTTCAGTTCCACATTACCGATCGGGCCGAACAGTTCGTGCAGCGACTCCGATAGTTTTATCAATGACAGATGTGTTTTGACAGGACGTGTATTCTGTGACAGTGGCGTGTTGTCGGTTCGCGATCGGTTTGACGGTTTGTGACTGTGATTCTACATCGTGGAGACATGTGTAGTGTGTGATCTCAAGTACCTTCCACCGTCCAGATGAGTAGCGTCTGAGGTCTGAACTGTGCATACGAGGTAAAGTTTAACACCGGGGGTGTTGGATACAGTAGTTACCCTAGTGTATAGTTAAGTGTAATTTACACGCTCACCATGTTATACAGACGTTTGTCTATACAGTATACTGTACAATCTTAGAAGTAGGCCTACCGTTCATATCTAACATCACGCGTGTTTTGGGTTGGTACACTTGTAAGGACTAATGTATTGTCAGTATTGTGTAGGACAATTGAGAAGAAAATACACCGATGTTACCATAACCTACAACAGTGTGAACTGTATGTGGACGCAGGCGCGAAATGTCAAATGAAGTGATGGCCGCCGCGCCGTCCAGCGAATACATTTAGTCCACATGGCTAGAGGCTCTGTTCTGTACTACAGTACAGTTAGGGTTATATAGACTATTTATTTGTCAATGTCGTACTAGGCCTAATGGGCGTTTAGGTGAACGTGTAGAGAAAATACGTAACAAAAATGTCCTTAAAGAGGCTATTAAGGACCGGTACAGATACAATATGGTTTTTAATATGTTTACGCACGTTAATGATTCTTCATGAACAACTGTTTAAAGTTGAGACGATGCGTGAATAAAAAAAATGAAGCTTATAGCAATAATATCAAAATATAATTATATACCAAGCGCTTTCCGTAATACGTTAGAACGCTTTTGTCGGAAACGTAAACATTGGGCCGTTCCTTGATAATTCCATAGTATGAAAATTGTAGGCTGACTAAAGCAATTAATTTAAAGTAATAATATCCACGGCAAAGAGTTTGATAATATAGATTCATATCAACGGATACTCAATTTTACAAATGGGGGTGTAGCTGGTTTAGGTTGAAATTTAAATATTTTGACCGATTGCGCTTGTTAAACGATGCTACGAATAGAGTTTATGTGCAAATGACACCTTTTTTCACACTGTAAGCACTGTTATTAAAATTTATTTATTTATTTATTTGACGGTAACAACCATTTACAATAATATGCTAATATGCTAAAAATTCTAACCAAACAATACATATGAAAAATTTGATGGCTAACACATATTTTTACAATAGATATAGCTAATAGTATGTAATGTATGTTATAAAAATAAAAATATGTTTAAAAAATGTTATAAAAATAATATATAACATGTAGAGCGTTGGTCAAACCCGGCGTATTAAAACACAGCACAATATAGTAAACAAAATAATTAAAGAGATATAATTAAAATAATAACTTGACATCATGTAAAGTCTTAATTATGTAAATGCTGCTAAAATTAATATACAGTACTGATATTAAATTAATATTTTTACTTTTATGATATACGCAACTAATATTTAGCCAAAAATTAATGCGAAATATAAAGCTAAAACAAAATACATTATCGTCCAACCGGTAACATATATGACTACAAGATATGAACCAATTTACAATAAATATACAATGATGACTTATTCTCACTTAAATAGTAAATGGAAACTAAATATTTCTTGAAAATGACATGCAATACAACAAAATTCAATTGGGAAGTAACAATATATGTAAAAAATTATACGCGCCATTGCTGTGGCGCTTTTTTCCAATCTTTGTGTTAGAGTGTGTATTTTTCTTAAAATGACAGGGCTAATTTTGGTGTGATCTATTTCCATATACAGTACTGTAGTACATAGCGAATCAATCTCTGTAGTAGGCCTAAATCAATCTCCAATGCTCTTAAAAAATCCCGTCTATACGCATACAAGAAATAAGAGAGGGTCACATGTACACATGGAAAACAAAATTTGTCCATAAAGTTATTGGGAACGTTATATTGTGGAACTGAAATAGGTAATTTTATTTTAGTAGGCTAATAATAATAAATGTAAGAAATAACTTAAGTGGCGAGTATCTAGGATTTAAATCGAATAACGAGATACCGTAGAAGTAAATAAATACCTGGGCACGTATGTACAAACATAAATAAATTTGTGACTAATGTAGTTGAACTTTGTTACATAAGTTGACGTTATTAAATATAAATACATCAGGTCTCCGCCTGTAAGTGACACTATAATATTATATGTAATCATGCGTTACTCAGTTTTTACAATAAATTTAACATTAATACAAATATACGAACGTCGTTAAAGTACTTTAGAAGATTCGTGTTTTAATAACTCAAAACAAATTACTGTAACACAAGTAGCAAATTAGGATAAAGTTTCGCATTTAAATAATATAGTGTACAAACATCATCATGCCTCTAGGTAATTATTATATGTTCCATGCTTTGGAATATATAGCGAACGTCAAAATTAACAACATTAAATTTAACAAGTCTAAGTTGTTATTTATTTAAATCCACTGCGAGCAGCAAATTTACAACTTAATTTATAAGATGGAGATATGTTTACACATGAGTCTTAAAATATAAAATCAACTGAGATTATAATATATACGAGACCAATATGGCTGTATACAAGGAAGCTTGAAATAAATAATATATAATAGAAATTAATATATTTCATACTCATTTGAAAATAAATACATACATTAACAAGCAGAATAAATAAAATGCACTGATCGACATAATAGGCAATTACAATGTAGACATAGATACATTTGACTAATTAAAAAAAAGTTTTCAAAGTTGTTCACTTTATTTAAAGTAGTATGCCTAACGTTTTTATCGGAAATGTTATTTTACCAAATAGGAGCTGAAATTAAAAACTAACTTAATTTAGAGCTGAAACAGTTTGGATGTAAGCCTCTTATATTATTATTACCCGTTTCATTACCAATACCAACAATACCCGATCCGATAAGTTGTGTTTATTTATTTATTTTACATGGCAGATACGATTTTTACAATAAGTACAGTGTACACATCGAATTGATACATTACAGTAGAATACTTGAAAAAGAAGAACAACATTAAACTTTTTACTGATATGTAGAGTACACGCAAACTAAAATTGATCCATTTTGCCTGTCAATGGCAATAGCTGGTATGCTTACAATAAATATACATATGTATAGAACACTTTGATTTTATGTGATAAAAACATAACCAAGTAGCTTGGAAAATATGTGTGAAGAAGAATAACGATTGAAAAAATAGGTAATAATAGCAGCTATTACAAATCAATAACAGTTACAAAATAAATATTTAACATACAATGCCGAAGAATAACTATAAAACTAATAACAGGGGCGTAAACTATGAATAGGGCTCACAAATAATAACAGCTGTGCAATAAATATTTATTTAGAAAGAGAAAAACAATAACAACTTATGGCTTTTGATAATTTATAATCTGTTATAACTGCCTATTTATTTATCATAGATTTATTTAATTTATGGATTTGTTGAAAAAGTTATTGTGAAAAAGTGCATAGTCATTCTGAATGAAACTAATAAGTACTTAAAAATATGCAATTATTTTTAGATTAGCTTGATCTAATAAATAAATATCAATGTTTATACCTTAAATTTAATTAAGACAGTAATTCTTGATTTGGTTTACATTGGAAAAAAATAATTCAGCTGTGAGGTGGGTAACAAAGATAGATATTTTGAACTATAAAAAATAATTATCTGTCTATAAACCCCATATATCCGCGGAATTCATAATAATTTTTCAATATATTAAGTGTATTTTGTAACGCCAAGTAAATAAAAATATTCATATATACTCACTTTAAACATAACATTTTAAGTTCAAACTTTCTATTCTGTGCTCTCTGATTCAAACCACAAGATGTGTATGTAAATTTAAAAAGAAATTTATGAAAGCGTGGCCAACATTAAGAATGCACAAGAAACTGTAATAAATAATTGAAAACTAAATCGAGTAAATCCAATGCCAATGCAAATAAGGTATGTAGATAACTTAAACGCATAGTTAAATTGCATAATGATAACACAGTAAATTGATTTAATCAGTGCAATATTAACTTTAAATTAATATTTATTCTTTTAATGGTTAAAACACCGTTTACCATGATGGATTGGTTTACCGTACTACTAGACCGAAGATGCTAAGAAGCTAATGTAACCGATCAATACATCCAATAATAATTATTAATAAATTATAATTACGAATTCAATCTAAGTAGGTCCATGTTTTTAATTTTCCTCAACCTCACATCTTCTAACAAAGCAAGTGAGTATCTTGTAGTTAATCACGCGCTATGTTGCTATGTTTGTTATGGGTCACTAACGGCGGAATACATTTCCATGTTCAGTGTTATGATGGCGTATGGTTGATATGCTGGGCGGTTCCGTGGCGTATGGCCGTATAACTCAGCTATACGCCGCGTCTCGCATACTCTATACGCTCTACGCTTCACCTCATTACTGTGTTTACGGGTATCATAAAGCTCTAGTTTCAGGATTATTCTTTGACTGGTTGACGTATTTATGTTGTAAGTTGTGCGGACAAAGGGAATGGTCGGGAAGCGACCGTAATTGTAGGAGTTTGAATAATTCAGAAACATATTTCAAATAAAAGTGTATTATCTATTTATTGTCACCAATAAACGCCGTTCACAAAGATCAAAATTTAAACAATAGGTTATAACATAACATAAACCAACAAGTCTTAAATTTTAAATAAGGAACAATGGCTATTTTGAGGTAAATTGAAGTTGAAAATAAAGAAAACAACCCTCCCCCCATAGCAAACAATGTGTACATGGGTAACACATATGTGAAAACTAAAAACAATAATCTAATGAACATGTAAACAACAGAAAGAAAGATATTTACGGTTAAACTTATAGTATAACGCCATTCATGGTAGAATGGTATTAGATTACAAACATATATGTATATACTTTGTGCATTAATGGGTATACAATATAATAGGTATAATAGAGTAAATAACTTGTACTATCCCACATGAAAAATCTTGTTGAAACATCCATGATTGATGAGTTTGTTTTGAGAATATATATATTGGTTTATTATGTTTATATTAGTTTATTTGATAATGATTCTTGCATACCCGTAGAATATAATGTATTTATTCTGTGCGTTTACAAA